CAGCACCCAGTAACCAGTTAATGTTAAACCTGCACATCATTTGATTCAGCAGTAGAAACATAGTTCCCACATTTATGCTTTTATTTTGATTACAGTGATTTACTGATTTTGTAGATTATTTAGCTAATTAGTAGGTTTTTTTTAATCATTTCTTTTACTCTTGTGAAGCACCTGGTATGTTTTTTTTTTATTTCTGAAATTACTTTGTAAGTAAAATGATTTGCTAATTATCAACAGTAATCAAGATGTAATAAATTTCATTTTCTATTTACTTTGATACCAAAATCTGCTGTTGCTTAAAATTTATATGAAGTTTATAAATGATATAAATCAATCAGAAAAATGTCATTTATTTTGAAATCTAAATAAGGGAATAAATAATAGAAATGCAATTATTATTGTTGTCGATAACATTAATATTTAAAGAATTTATACTTCAAAACAGCATGTATAAAAATAATTTATGTAAAATTATTTTACATTTTTTGTTTAATGTAAAACAAAAAAATATTTAACAAGTATTAACACATAATCAAGTTTGTCTATTTTAACAGATAAATCATTTTAAATTTGTTTTATTTGAAGTAAAAATATGTGAATAAGTAAGTGAATGCAGTTAAATTAATGAAAAAATGAAGTTTCAGTATTTTAAAAGATAAATTTATATGGATTGTATATAAAATTGAAATATGGCTAACTTTGTTTCAATTTAAAGGTAAAAAAAAATTGAGATTAAAAAAAAATAAAATAAAGTGTTTTTTTTCTCTTTACTTTTAAATATAGTAAAGAAAGATAACTTTCAGAAGAAAATGAAACACTTGACCACAAAGTAAATTCCTGATTCCTGTCCAGTGGCAGGCGGCTGCCGAGCGTCCCGGCTCTGCGGAGCGGCAGCGGCTCTGCGAGCGGCTCTTCCAGGGCGAGGAGGAGGAGCTGGGGATGCTGGAGGCGCTGAAGCTGCTGATGCTGGGCAGGGCGGCGGAGCTGCACGGCCGCATGCAGGCCGGTCAAGACGTCCCTCTCTTCTGCTGGCTGCTGTTCGCGCGGGACTCATCCGTCTGCCCGCGCTCCTTCCTCTCCAACCACCTCAGGCATGTGGGCCTCAGCGCCGGGCTGGAGCAGGTACAGCCGACGCCCTCGGCTCTCTGGGTTTGTGTGTTGAGCAGCAAATAGAGATTCTGGGACTTTTTGAATACATTTGAATAAAAGCTGCAAACAAAAGCAGCGTTCATGGATGTGCGTTGGAACAGGAGGAGGGTTTTTCATAAACTGTGTTCAGTGAAACATGCAGGTGCTTGAGTCGTGTTTTTAGTTGTTGCAGATATAATTATTTGCAACACATGAATGAAAGCTTTTCCAGCTGCACCCTCCACAATACCGCTCCACCCAGCTGATTAAACACGCTGCCATTTGATTCGTCTCTCCAACGTCTTTTGTACTTCTGACAAATGATTTGCTTTTGTCCTTCGTGTGCAGGTGGAGATGTTCCTGCTCGGCTACGCCCTGCAGCACACCATTCAGGTTTACAGACTGTACAAGGCCAACACGGAGGAGTTCGTCACCTTCTACCCGGACGACCACCGGGACGACTGGCCGTCCGTGTGCCTCGTCACGGAGGACGACCGCCATTACAATGTGCCGGTCGCTGAAGCTGCTGAGCCCGGCGAGGAGCTGACCGCCAGCTGATTGACGCTGCAGGAAGCCCACCTGCTGTACAAACGCCCCTCAGGTCTATCAGAGTGGCACGTTTATGCCAACTCCAGGTGGAACGCTGGGATATATGCGTCCTGGCTTCTGTCCAAAAAGTCTCAGATTCTCCACTGTGTATGTTTACTAAACCAAGGCTGGTCGGCTGTTAGTTTGTCTCAAAAGAAGAACAGATCAACGTTAAATAAGCCGGGGTGGGCGAATGATTTATTCGAGTTAGTGCCATCGTAACATTCCTTTTATTTTTTCCATAATCTTATTTTTTATGTGCCATAAAGGTTTTTTTCTTTTAGTGTAATAATGGCAAACAAAAGAACCTGAATCACATTGAACATTCATGAACACAGAGTCATGAATTACTCTGTGATTTAGTTCTGTGAGGAAACATTTTATAATTAATTAGTTTAATAATTAATGTAGGAAGGGAAATTATTAATTCAGTGACTTTTGTTTTGTTTTGTTTGTGGGCCAGACCAGTTTACAGAAGACAAATGAGCATCTGAGGTGAAAATATGTTTGGTTTCTATTGGATTTTTTTTTTTTTGTCAAATTTCCAGACTTCTCAATTAATTTCTTTAAACACATTAATAAATACAAAACTTCATGTTTCAACAGAGATCAGATTGTAAAATATGAAACCATGGATGAATGGGATGGAAGGACGCCTGGTTAATGAGTGAATGGATGGATGAATATATGGTCAATCAGTGGCTGGATGAGTCAGTAAATTAAAGAACGGATGTGTCGGTGGAAGAATGTGACTAAATTATTAGGACAGGGATTAAAGTGTAAAAAAAAATAATAATTTTCCTCCCTGTTTGTTTTCCACTCTCATCCATCTTCTCCACTCCTGGAGGTTTTTTTTTTTCTCTTTCGTCTGAGCCAAGTTGACGCCGAAGCATATATCCCAAAACGTAACCACCTCCTGTTTAAACGTGGTGATTTGAGACCCTGTACGAGATGTTTGTCCCCAAACGCTCTTGTATGCACTGTACTGTCAGAACTTTGTTTTCTACTTTGGTATTTGTACACATTCAGTTTTCTTGGATCGTCTCAGTTCTACCCAGATCAGTTTGCTGGCCAGGAAAACTGTTGAGATAAAAAAAAAGAAAAAAGAATATATCATGTTTACACTGGAATTTTTTGTGTTTTATTTATTGTTTTGATGGTGGAGAAAAAAGTATTTTCATTTGGTGTGAAGGTTAATTTAAGACGGCTGAATTAGTCAATGAAGAGTTTACTGATTGATTAAGTTGAACAGGATCAGAAGACTCGGAGGATTAATGGCAGCCTCCATTTCAGACGTGTGATTTCTAACTGTTGTGTTTTGTGTGTGTCAAACTCAGTGAGTAACATTTTGCCTTTAACCAAGCTAAGGAAGGAAACATACCGATGTTGCTGAAAAAAAAAACTGGCAAATGCTTCAACCACCAGCCACAGGATTTAAGTAAAACAAAAAAAAAAAAAAGCTTGCTTGGTCCTCCATGTTGCCTTAGAAATGATGCACAATGTGAATGAATGTTGGTCATTTGTGTCGAGTCTAAAACTTGTCCGATTTATTGTGCAGGACTGATCTTGCACTGTCAGTTTTTATTGGCATTGAAATAAATGGAACATTTTGGAAAAAGTTTTGGCCTGTTGTCTGTTCATGTTGGCAAAGTTCGTAACACGGTGGATGTGCCGCAGATAGAGCTCATGATGGAGGTCTCAGTCATCGACGCCGCCGTCACGGGTTCAACTCCCGACCTGTTGACCTTTACCACATGTCTTCATACTTGGCAATTTCTGTTTCAAATAAAAAGCCAGTAGATCAAAAAAAAAAAAAAAAAAAAAACCTTTTTTTTTTTTGGTTGAGCAGCAGGCTCAACTGATGCTTTTCAAAGATTATCTAAGCTTTTCAGGCAAAAAAATGAGAACATATTTTGCATAGCCCATAGACATATCCTAACCTGTTTAAGGGTTCAAAATAAGTCAGTTTTAAACTTTGTTTCATGTTTCTTCAGACATTATTGTCAAAGCCATCTCAGTCCATCTTCGTCTTTCATCCGAAGTTGACGGATTTGGTCAGATGTTTGGAACTTGGACACGATCAGGTCCAGACATGCATCACATCTGGGTTAGGAATGAATAAAGCAGGAAAGTCCTGACTTCAATCCCATTTAAATTTTGCCTCCAATAATTCCAGACAACAGAAAAGGTTAATAATAATAAAGCAATTTATTTGTAAATAAGAATGCCTATACAGTATATACATACGACAGTCTGAATACTAGCAGGAAAAAGGCTTGGCAAAACAAAGTGGGTCCAACTCCCAGACAGAATTGAAAGGGAAACAGAGAGCTATTCTTGAACACACAGTGGTTTGATGAGGGATTCCTGACCCCTTGCAGCAATTAAATATACACAATCCAATATAAACAAGAATCTGTACACCATTGTATGCAAAACACGATTGCACAACCCAATAAGTTCCACATTGTGTCTGCGTTTGAATCCAACAAGGTCCCGCTGCCTAAACTGATAAAGTAACATGAAATGTTGAGCTCTAGTTTTTTTTTATTTCTTTATGTTTTTTTGGCAACTCCACAAACACCCGGCTCATCGTTCCTGCTGCTGAGGAGAAATTTCCCCCGTGTCGGTTTCCCTTTTTAACCAGTGAAAACTTAGGAAAGGATACACACCCAGCTAAAGGGAAAGGGCTAACCAGAGACAGTATTTACACAGATGGGTTGGAGGTGCATGGCTTTCTTTACAGTGTGCGTTTCGATAGTGTGCAGGTTGACGCCTCGGACGTTTTCCCCAGTCCGAGCCGCCTCGTCTTCTGCAGACCTTCCTCGTCAAGGTCGTCCTCCTGTGCTTTGGACGCTCACTCCTGCTCCGCCTCCTCTTCCACCTGGAGCTCCTCGATGGCGTCCATCTGGTTGGGGGAGTCGCCTCCCTCCACAACCAGCTCGTTGGACATCTCGCTGTTCCTCTGAGAACAGGAATGAGAAATGCGCTTTCAGACGTCAACGAAGAAAGTGAGAAAAAAGATTGCAGCTGCACAGTAGATACTGCTGATAAGTGCTGACAAAACGCAGCGGTTAAATAAATATGCTCCTACGTGACGACACAATAAACTGGACCCTGCAGAACCTCCACTAACTGTAAATCTTTGCAAAGTAGAAGAATTTGCAAAGATAGTCTGGCTTTCCAATCACACGGCCAGACAGATTTAAATGTATGCGGCAAAAGCAAATGAGGTGGATTAGTGAAGCTTTCTAACAACAGACATGTTACAGTGGAATATCGTCTCTGCTACCTGGAAAGTGAGAACTAAAAAAAAAAAAAAAAAAAAACGCAACAGTTTTCAGTCAGAAGCCTCTTAAAAATCGTTGAAAGACTGACTGCTACTGGAGATGTTTCCTACGCACAATGACTCTGAAGATAATTGGATGCTGTGAATCAATTTAACTTTCTTTTGGGATAAATAAAGTTTTTATTTAATTGAAAATGTGCCACATCGAGTGGATTAATGCTGAAAACTTTATTTTTAGTATATATTGGGGATTTCTCCTTAAAAAAAAAAAAAAAAAATCAGACTTTAAAACAGAAAATATTTGTTTTAAATATGAAAAACATTTTAATAGATGGAGCTGAAGTTGTTGAAACGATTCAATGCAGTGAAATGATTCATCATTATTATTAGATAAAAAGTGTAAGGTCAACTTAAAGGTGAATCAAGGGTTAAAGGAGGATTTCAGCATTTTCTACGTTTGTATGTATGTGTATATATATATATATATATAGAAAAAGCTTTCCTCGAGATCCAGCAACCGGTTAGATTAGTTAGCACAAAAGGAACAAGAACAACAGGAACCATAATTATACAGGCCATGTTCAGGAAATAATAATTATATGTTGCATTTGTTTATGTACTATGAACGTTACTATTAAACCAGATCATAAATGTGTGAAACGCAGAACATGTCTCACTTTGAGGTTAATCTTCATTTTCCAATTTTTCTTTGTTCTAACTGATGCTGGTTCATTCTTGTTTAGAGGCACAAAGAAATTTTCTGTTTTTAAGATCAAATGTGGACTAACATGAAGTCAAGTTTGCCGTTTTAACTTCGTTTCCTATAGGATATGTCCCGAAAGTCTTCAGATTTAATTTTGCAGTAAGATGTTTAAGAGAACAAAAGCAAAAACAATGGCGATAAGCATCAACAATCAGGACTGGCAGCCTCAGGTGTTCTGGGCTACGCCTCCAGAAATGTGGTCCATCTGGTATGGGAGATAAACATTTCCACAGTATGCTGGAGTCAGTCCAGATCAAAAAGTCGATACTCTTTTCAGACCAGATCATTCCTGGTAACGTTCAAGCGGGTTATCGTGTTAATTTGTCCACCATAAAGGTGAGTTGCATTAGCAATGACCTTGTCTCCAGCTGGCACTCACTGAGAGTGTCTGTAATCAGAACTGTGACTATAATGATAACAATAATGGAGGAAGTTGGGTTGAGGTCTGAGAGGAATTCAAATGATTGATTTGAATTCAGAAGGTAATGACCTTCTGGATGTTTCCACCAATTACGGTGTTCATTGCTGTATATTCACAAACGGGAGCCTTTGTACGTCAATCCCTTGTACTTTGTGCGTTTATTCTGCAACCAGTGTGTGATCACCGTCACTCCTAAACATCAGACAGTCCCTCCAAGCCACTTTTTCTGGATGTAATATAGGCACAAGGTAGAAACATCGGCAAGACGATCAGTGGAAACAGAAGCATCTCAGCTCAATTCAGACAAGAACTTTGAATGCACAGATAAATCATCCAATCTTCAGCTTTTCAGTGAACGCACCATATATAACGCTAAGCATTACATTTCTTCAGGGACCATTACTACTGCTAACCTCATTAGAAGGTTCTGCTATGCTAATAAATTAAATATAAAAAAAAAACTCCTTGATTTTTAGACAAATTGGCATTCAATAAAAATGTTAATATGAACTTCATTTGTTTTTTCTAATTGCATGTTTAATTGTGATCTGTTTTTTAAAATGGTTTAATTATATACTTTTATGAGTTAAAACTTTTTTTTAGGAATACTGCGTTAATTTCAGAAAAAAATAAGCTTGTATTTCTCTTTCGCAGAGACTTGTTGCAGAATGTTGTTGGGTTACCATCCGTCCCACTGTTTGAACATCCCATCAGTGCTAAGAATAAACATCTCCCAGCTTTCCTGTCAGACTTTTCCTCTTTGCGTGCCGTCTCTGAAAACAAACGTCAACATTCCCATTCAACCTGAACGCTTCGTTTATAATTAAAGATGGCAGGAAACGCCTTGCTCTAGATACGGGGAGAGGAGTGTGAAAGCTCACCTGTTGTCTATAAACATAGCAGGCTGCTATGGCGACCATCGCCGATTCCCCGACGAAACCGGCTAAGAGAGACCCGACACCGAGTGTGGCCCCGTGGACCCTGCAGCAGAGGATTACTTTAATCTGATGCCTTTCTCATCACGTCTCCACATCGGTGAAGGCGAGTTCTTCTTCTTTTTCCAGCAGCTGCTCTGAACGCAGTGCTACGAGTCAACTCTGCTGCTGTGTTCACTTACCCCATGTAAGGCAGCACAACCAGGCTGATGATCAGGACGACGATACGCAGAACAGAGCTGGGAGCCAGGACGAAGGTCTTTTTCAGGGTCATGAGCCATCCTGTCAGATGAGCCCGAACGGTCACTGCAAACACACAGAGGAAGGAGGCGTCAGGGACACGTCCCACCTCACAGGGCCGAGTCCAGGTTCTCTTCTAATGGCTGGGGCACAAACTGTACGAGGTTTTAAATGCACTGCTGCTTTAGATTACATTGAGCAGTGGAATAACTAAACTATAATTAACCAAACAAAACACACGGATCTGTTTAGCAGTAGATTTGTTTGTTACAGTGACTTAAGGTACAAGCTAATTTATCTAGGGACACAATTAGCTTCTAGATAAATATATATATATATATATATATATATATGCTGAATTTATTTAACTTAATCAACTTTTATTAAATTATTATAGACCACAAATATAGTCATAAATGTTTAATTATCCCCTTTAAGAAGGTTTTCTTTTCTTGGTGCAGTAGTCTGAGGCTGGTTTTCTTATTAAACATCAACCTGCCAATAGGACTAGAGATGGAAATCTCATTCATATTAATGCCAATAATGTCCCATTTAAAAAAAACAAACAAACAAAAAAACACACAACATAAGGAGCATTTCTGTCATGTACTGACTAGGAGTTTGGACAAAACTAATCTCTGTACGCCACGATATGATCAAACTAATTGGCGGCTCTTGTGGCGATGGCCAATCAGATTTCAGGGCCAGTCAGAGCCCTGCCCCCTTCAGCCTCCCCTACGAGCCATGACCTGTGACCTCACCTGGCATTGGGAAGAAGGAGAAGATCCGAAGCGGCGCCACGCAGAGCGTGGCGAAGGTGTACTCCACTCCGATGATGTCCACCAGGATCTTCTCGGACACACGCGGGGTCCAGAACAGCACGAAGCAAAGCTGAGCATTGGAACAAACAGATCAATTATTCTTCAGGACCTGCTTTAGTGATTTTTACTGCAGCTGAACGTTTCAGGCCTTTGAAGCTCTGGCAAAACAAAGGAGCTGCTTAGTCGTATTAGCATCGCACCTTAAAGCACCATGGTCAGGGCATCCGAGGAGGAAACAGTCTGATCTGATTATGAATAAAACATCCACGTGTTGGAAAACCATCAAATGGATTCAAAATGACGGTCGATAACTATCCTCTCCACTAAGACAGGGCAGTAGAGCATTTGTCTGACACAGATGCATCATAGTGCAGCTTCAGAAGCTCTCCCTGATGACTCGTCAAGTGTTGCAACTCTGAGCAACAGCAGATCAGCTGGTGGATTCCTGCAGTTCAGTTATGGAAAACGGCGAGCAGCTCAAGACGATCCAAAGAGCAAAGCCGTCTCAACCGCTGCGCTTTAAAAAGCTTCGAACGATTAATCAGGTGATGAATCGAATAATTCTCAGAAAACTTAGTAATCAATTAATTGACTGGATTATACAAACTCTTCAAAAAAAAAAAAAAAAAAAAGGCCATTTGCTGAAATAAAGCAGTAATTAAAACTAAGCCATAAAAAATAAACATTTTGCATTTAAAATATTAATTTTTTTAAGACCCTTGTAATTGCCCAAAATTCTCTGGTTCCATAAATTTAGCTTCATTTGGTTGAAATTCTTTATAGATTATTTATTAATTAATCCAAAAATTAAATCAACAGCACTACACTCTATTGATCTTAAGTCAAGCAGAAAGGACTGAGTTAGAAGTATTGTTTTCATCTGCAGATCCAGCAAAAAATGATCAAACGTATGATAATGAGATTCATGTCATTGCTTTTTAGGCAAAATTTTTATTTTCATTTAAAAAAAATACATTTAATTGTTCATTTGCACATCTAAATGCATTTCTAAAATTGTTTTAAACATTTAAGGGTTTAAATGAAATCTACAGAATGTGCCCATTTTTTAATCCTATTAATCGTCAGAATAACTGACAGATTAATCAATAACTAAAATAATCATAAGCTGCAGCCCTAATTTCAATCAGTCATCCGTTCCTCAGGATGACTGAGGAACCCAGTAGTGATTTAAAGATGCCAAAGGTTTCTGCAAATCTCGGGTTTTCTGGAAGTTTGTTCCAGAAACCAAAAGCTGCCTCCGTTTGTCTCTGATACAGCCGAGTTGCAGAAGTCCTTCAGGGATTCAATTAGTGCATCCAATTGAATTTATTTCAGTAGCTCAATTAACAAAACTTAAATTTAAAATCTCCATTTCATTTAAATTTGTAAGATTCTGGCTTAAGGCTACCAAACTCTAAAATTCAGTTTCTCAGGAAACCACCAACGAAAAACGATTTTTAAACTCAGAAATGTCAACATGATTAAAAGCCTGAGCATGTGTTGTGCAGTATATAAATTTAACATTTTGTTGGGGTTCATTTTGCATGAATTACTCTATAAATTCATTGTAGCGTGGAGATCAGCGTCATGGTTCTGCTCAGACATTCAGGACGCTTTATTAACGGCTGTGTCTCCCAACTCCACAGATACCATCAATAAGTGAAGCATTTTCTGTCAAAAATCGCCCAGAAATTTCTAGATTCATTTCACATTTTAAAAGAAAAAAGTAGAATATCGACAGGTTTTTGAAAAACTGTCAATCTGCAAGAAAAAAAAAGGATGCTATTCTGTGATTAAAGGGAGAAAAGTACAATATTAAAACCAAGTCTGACACATCAGACATTTGGTTTAAGTGATTACTTTATGGGATCTACACTTTGAACTTTGGTAAAACAAGCAGATGAGAATCCCTGACATTTATCGTCTCAATTTTAGAAGATCTCTGGTATTTTGTGACAAAAGTCTGAATTTATAATTTTGATAAGGATCCAAGTTGTTTTGTTCCTACCAATGTTGGAATATCCTGGTTTAAATGTAGTAAATTTATACCTTCAGTCATGTGAAATTGCCTTTTTGCAAATTTTTTAACTTTGACACCAGAAAATATTAAAGTTGAAATTATTCCCAAATTTTCGGAATAGTTTGGCTAAAATCCAATTTTTTTCCCCCTTCCATCTAAAATACCCCCCAATACTTGTCGCATTATCACGTGTAATTTAAAATCTTCAGAAAAACTGGAATTTGCTACAACTGATAATCAAACCCAACTAAAATATATCTCTCAGTGTAATAAGTCTAAATCTACTGAAGTAAATCTTTGATGACTTCAGGTGTTTCAAGAGCTTCAGTTGCTTGATGAAGGGTTTAAAACCCTATGCTCTGGTTTCCAGACTGGTCCCAGCTGAAGAAACCAGACTCGTCACTTGTTTTCCCGTTTCTCAGCTGCTGTTAATTCTCACTTTGAGCTGCAGGTTGAAGGTAAACCAGAAAAATGAAAAACAGCTGAAAAGATGAGGATTCCAGAAAGATTGGGCGATCTCCTGAACCAAAACGTGAGAATGGATTACCTGCTAATTAGTAGTTTTGGTTCACCTCACCTTCTATCATCACTTTACTTGGACACGGTCACATCAGAGTAATCTGAAAGGCCTCGGGCAAAGCCTTCTTCTGCTCTGACTCAGCTGTGGCAATCTCCTCAACAAGCTGAGACATCCTAAACGATGAGCTTGTTCTCATAAGGTTGAATTACACGTTGATTTCTGTCACACACACACACACACACTCCGGCTCCACTTTGGTTTTTTCCTAGTCTGCTTTACATAAGTTCACAATCACAGCAGGTCTCGACACGTCGGGATCGTGTTGATCTCTGCACACACCCTCATGTTCTTGTTGACAACTTTAGGACTCTACATCTGGCGTGACAGTCTCCTCCCCTTTGTTTTTTAAAGACCAAAACATTACCCCAGATTTCCTGTTTATCCTCACTGGAGCAGAGTGCAAAAGCACAATTGCACACCAATTGTGAGAACTGAGGTGGGATTGATGCTCAGCTCTTCAGGAAAAACAGGCTAATGTAGACGCCTGCATCACCGCAATCCAACACCAAGTCTATTTGCATAAAGGCTCCATCTCTGAGCATTAATATGCTCAGTAAGTTCTAAAGATTTTCATAATTTACCCATCGTGAATTTATTTTTGACTGGGTCGACTGCAGGCAGCTTGAATAAAGAAATTCCAGCATGTTTCAGCACAACATCTAGCTGGTTATACGAGTCCTCAGATGAAACACAAGTCAAGTCACAAAAACAACTATAAACATCAAGCAGCTGTGCTCTTTTATGAACAAACCGTTCCACATGTTAGCTTGTTGCCTCAACACAAAAACAATCCCTGAAGCCACTGAGGTCTTCAGGGCTTACCAGTTAGGGGTTTCTGCAAACCCCTAACTGGTAAAAGAAAAATTCTAAGACTGTGAAGTTGTCAGATCATGACAATTTTTCAAAGCTAAAGGAAAAGCAAAAACATGCTTATGTGTTCATTTATGTGTAACCAGCAGGTT